TGGCAGGTTACTAAGCTAGAGACCACTGACTCACTTCTCAACAACCACTTCACACTTCCTGATCACACATTCTTCCCAGTGCCATCTTCAAGGACTAGGGCAGGGGTCCCCAGGCCATGGCCCACTACTGGGCCTTGAGCCGTTCGGAACTGGGGCGCGGAAGTGGTGGGCGAGCACGTATGCACATCCACACTTGCACAAGCAGTGAGGGCACATGCACTTTATTTGTGCGAACGGCGGGTACGCGTGCCCAGCGCTCACACAAATGGAGCTGCGCATGGGCGCTTGCCTATTGCTCGGACGGAACCATCCTCTCTCCCCCCCCCCTCACTGGTCTGCAAAGCTGGAAAGGTTGGCGAAATCTGGTCTAGGGTGTTATCTGGATTGGATGGTTTGGAAACACACCTACCAGTTGTCTCATTACACCACACATTTCTGAACCAAGTTGATTTTAACTGCATGGTGACTGGTGAGCATTTCCAAAAGATCCACTCAAGGCAATGGCCTTCTCCAGAAATTTCAAGTCATCATATTGCAGACATTTCATTACCCAACTAAGTAACATCTTCAGTGCCAGTATTATTCTAGTATTTTACTACTATACTAGTACTACATTAGTACTTCAGTGTTGTATTTATATTTTAATTGGTGCATGCATGTGTCTATAACAAGAAAATTTTTCTTAATGGGAATTAACCTTTAATAAACGCATGAAAATAATGGTTGTGGCTGACTTCCTCAAGACTGGAAGCCGTATGGTATTTCTCCAGCTCTTTTAGACTTCAGATCCCATCATCCTTGCCATTAGCCATCCTGGGTAAGCCAGATGAAAGCTGGAGTCCGAAGTTCTGGAGAACCATTGTTTCCTTACTGTGTACTGAAATGTAATTTTGCACTCCCTCCACCCCCCAATCTCTTGTACTGCCCAGAAAATCCCTAGGGGTGCAGGCATGGTGCTTGAATACAACAAAGTAGCTCCTAGAGAATTTCTTACCAATTTCACAGTTTTGTCCCGAATAGCCTTCAGGGCAGGAACACTGGTATTTGTCAGGGCCTGTGTTGCTACAGGTCCCTCCGTTCAAACAAGGCGGGTGAGTTCCACAGTAGTTGAGATCTGCAAGGGATAAACAGGAGCCAAAGAATGAATAAGAGGGTTTCAAAACAGATGTTTTGTGTCCTCTGCCATACTATCCTCCAAGACAAAGCAACCAGATGGCAGCAAGCTCACAAGCAGAATAAGGGAGCAAAGCCAGCAGGGCCAAAGTGCACTTTCTACCTACCATCCCAACCTCCATGATATTTATCTGCATTTCCAACCCCCTCACAGCTCCTCCTAGATCCAGCCTACCTTTATTGCAGAATTGGCCACCCCAGTTGGTTTCACAGAGACATTGCCACGGTTCGTTGCAAGTGCCATGGACACAGCCCGGGTGTGGAATGCATTTATCGCAGTACTGGCCTTGCCATCCATACTGACACCTTCAAAGAAAGAGAGCTTGGAATTATATCCCGAAAGGAAATAAAAGGACCAGCGGTTGGAAAGTCCAAGTTTTGCTTTCCTGTTTTTTTTTTAATGGCAGCATTCTTTCTGAGACTTATTTGGTGGCTTCTTGTAAACAAATAGTTTTAACCAAGGTCTGTAAAGGCAGCCTTTGTACAAAAGAATAACTGTTCTGGGAGGCTCAGTGTGGAGCCATTGAAGACAAGACTCTATGCTATTCTGAAGCTCACACAAACGCAGGAGGGAGAGTGGGTGGGTGGACACAAGAGATCAATCTCTGGGCCTTGACAAATGGATTAGAGAAAGGGATCAGGGTGAAAAGAGAAAAGAATGAGTCAGGAGGAGCGACAATTATCCAAAGACCCTCATGAATACAAGGGGTTAGGGACATTTCAGCAGAAAGGCAAACAGCCCAGCAGGATGAAGCAGCTAGCTAACTAGGTTTCCCTTTGCTCACAACTCTGCTCATAGATGTACCACTGTTTGGGGTATGCACTATGCAGTTACTAGGAGTCACAGGCTGACATGAGGAGAAGGAAGCCACTTTAAGACAGATAACAACAGAAGTTCTAAAGCAATATTTCCATTTGATAATTGATATTTCCATACACAAGATGAAAGGAAAGGGATGGGGTGGGGGGGTTGATATAGCTGCCCCAGACATAGCTCAATAAAGGGACCCCACTTCTATGATGATTTTATTTAAACTTTGGCTCAAAGGCGTATGTAAGTTTAAAACAAACAAACATGTACTACAACACAAGTTGACGTAACAACAAAATCTGGGAAAAATCATTTATTATCCAAATAGCCAGTCTCCCTCCGCGTTCCAGCCCTTGTGCACTAGGGCACTGCCAATTTTTTTAAAAAATAAATAAAATAAAATGTACTATCTGAGGTGGTAATGAAAAATTTGCAAGTGTGAAATTGTAAGTGAACAAAAAAAAGGCATTTCATCATGCCCAATATCTGGAAAGAAACAATCAACTGCAATTACTCAACTCCATTGGACCTAACTTTCCAAAACAAGCCTTTTCATTTGATTTTCAAAGCAATACCCTGCCATACAGCCTTGTGATGAGGGGAAAAGAATGACAGGGATATGACTGGGGAGCTAATCACTTAGCGCTAATATCATGCTTCAATTCTCCTTAAAAAAAAAAAAACCTCAAATGGAACGCCACTCCCCCTAATTATTATCTTTTTTTTTTTTGACAGCAGCAGCAGCTTTGAGAGAGACAGATGCCTTGATGCCACTGATAGATTGAAAACAACAGGTATTTCAAGTCCTGACTGTGGGATCTTCTCTGGGAGCAGCAGAGCAGAGGAAATGGAAGTTCCCCTTTGAATAAAGAAGGCCCAGAAGGACAAAAGACAGATTTCAATCCTTGCACAGAACAAAAGCTTTATAGCGGCTTCTCTCCTGCCCCTCACAAAAAGCTGCCTGAAAGCTTGGACTACAGGCCCCATCACTGGCAGCCAGTGCTGGAAAGGAGAACGTGATGTTGGGGAAGAGGGACTTCCAGAACAGACCGCTGTAGTTAACTGCCAACAGCCTCTTGTAGCACACACAGCTTCAACACAGAGCAGCATAAAGGGGGGAAAAAAACAACAACCCAGCCTCCAAAAGTCCTACTTTATTTTTAATGTTAGGCAAGGCCCATCTTGATAGTTCAGTTCCAAAAAAACAAGCCAAACTGAAGCCAGGCTAATTTTAGCAGAGGAATTTATTAGGCCTTTTCCATATTAACGTACATCCAGCCATTGTATGCTTCAAAAATAGAACCTGGCTTACAAAATGGGCCCATTTCATCTTGATCAGGTCTTCTTTTCCCTTTTTTTTCCCCGGCTCTACATCGCTTCTAACGAGAATGAGAGAAACTTCTATACATTTTTGTTTTTAGGTCTTAAAAGCAGCTTCGGCTGGGGTTTTATTTTTAAACGGCTGCATCTGTAACATAGCAGACTATGACTCATCCCAACCCAGTGGGGAAAAAAACACACCGTATAGTTTGGTTTTTCCCCAAGTCCAAGAAGATAATTGAGGCTGGGGTATCAGGAAGGGCAGCTCTGCTGCTGGAAGTACTATATATATATATTAAAAAAAAGAAGTGTGGGAAAGTTGCACCTTAAGTAAATAAGGGCAATAATGCATGTCTGGGCAGCAAGTGGGAGGCGAGAGGCACAGGAAGGCTTGAACTCTGGAAACAAAGCCTGTTGTTCTGGCTAGCAAGGAATGCAGGCAAACCCTCTAAGGCACATTCAGCTGGATGACAGAAGCACAAATCTTTTGCTGCTTTGGCTTGTGCATCTCTTGGGATCCAGCCCAACCAAAATAGGGCAAAGAAATACGACAGGCTGACTGAGGGCGAGTCTGCACAGAGAGACAGTCAGAGAGCAAGAATCTCACCACTTTTCTCTTCAGGATAATTCTGTTAGCACCACTTGGATTGATTTTGATCCTATTTTTGTGTAAAAGGGTCCATTCACTCCTTGCCTTTTTTAAAAAGCAGGCACGCCTGTTTTTCAGCAATGTCTCCACAACAAAGGCACGGGATGGGGCCTACCTGCCCTGCCCACCTCCCTCCATTCCAGGCAGCCCTGGGATAGGGACCACCTTTCGTGGAAGGAGTCTCAAAGAAAAGCTCTGATGGCTGAAAGGGGAAGGGCACTCAAGCTCATTGCCTTCGGTCGTTGTGGCTGCTTCATCACTGGAGGTTTTCAAGAAGAGACTGGACAGTCACTTGTCTGAAATGGTATAGGGTCTTCGCTACTTAAGCAGGGGGCTGGACTAGAAGACTTCCAAGGTTCCTTCCAGTTCTTATTCTTATTCATAGTTAGCATTTCTCTTCCCGACATAATCATATTCCATTTCTGCAACTGAGAAAGCCCTCAGGAAAGCAACCATGCTTGGGTCGTCCTGTTCCAGACAGATTCCTCTTTTTTGCAAATACTGTGGCAGCTACAAGGTGGAAGCCACTTCTAATGTGGAGCAAGGACCCCGAGAGCGCACAGAGTCTCCTACTACTGCTGCTGAATGAATGTTGTGTGCTGCACAAGGGCTCTCCTGGGGTGACCAATTGGCAGCCTCACTGACAGGTAGTCCTTGACTTACGAGCACAACGGAGCCCAAAATTTCTGTTGCCAAGAAAAACATTTGTTAAGTCAATTTTGTCCTATTTTACGACTTCTTGCCGCAGTTGTTAAGTGAAACACTGCAGCTATTAAGTTAGTAATGCGGCTGTTAAGTGAATCTGACTTCCCCATTGATTTTGCTTGTCAGAAGGTCACAAAAGTTGATCGCATGACTTCAGGACACTGGAACCATCATAAATATAAGTCAGTTGCCAAGCATCCAAATTTTGATCATGTAACCATGGAGATCCTGAAATGGTCGTAAGTGTGAAAAATGGTCATAAGTCACTTTTTTCAGTAATGTTGAAACTTTGGTCATTAAATGAACTGTTGTAAGTCGACAACTACCTTTCCTTTTCAGGATCTTCTCCAGGCAGACACGGATCAATAAAGGCTTGAAAGCTGCCAGACATTGTTGTTCTCCCCACCCACCGCTACAAGTAATAGTCCTGTTTTTCTACAGAGGGGCAAGAGAGGTACTTATGGAGTTATTGGCAGTGGCCCACTCCTCTTCCGAAAAACTCGAGAACACAAATGGGGTGGGAGCTGTTACCAGGGAGAGAAAAGCAGGGAATTGATTGGCTTTGAGATTAAGAAAGAGGAAGGAGTGTGTTGGCTTGGTGTGATGTGATTGGGCACAATGCTTGCCAGTGGAAGGGGAAGGACGAGGTCTGGTTGACCCCCTTTTCACTGTGCTTGCCACCACTTTTTGGAATATAAACCTATCCTTTGGATTCCGACTTGCAAAGCTCCAAACCTCAAGCGGTTCCCTGAGGCCAGAGATTTTCCTGACCTCCCCAAATGCTTCTGGCTTCGGTGACCAAGTCTCGAAGTCAGACTAGGGAAGAAACCAAAAACCCCACAATATGTCTGATTACACAGCCAGCTTCTGGAGGGCCTCTGCCTACCAGTCTCAGGAGCTCCCTTTTCTGCGCCTGAAACACAGGCAGCCAATTACTCCAGAAAGAAAAGAAGCAAAGGTTCCTAGCCCAATAATACTCGCCAGCCTTACCTTAATGCAAACCCAATTCAAGGATACAACATAATCATGGTTCTTGGCTTTCCGAGTCTGGCTACATGCAAGCTGTTCTCCCTACCTACCACTCACTCCAACCTTGTCTGTTTGCCAGAAAAGAAAGGAGACATCAAAGAACCACAGCAGCCCTCTGCCTCATCAAGAAGATCTACGGACGGACAAGATTCCATCCAAGCTATTAACCTCTCATCACTCTAAAGTCTGGCTCCCAAGAGCAGAGGACCTAAGGAGGAGGCATTAATCCCATCTCAAGAATGCTCAACTTGTGCCTACTGGTGGGAAACGTTGAGGGAAAGGAGGGGGGGGAAGGGGAGGAGATGGCGAAAGCTAAAACCAGTCATATAATTACATTTACTAGAAGTAAGTAAATGGATTACACACTAACGTTGGGCCAAGAGTTTAGCTGTCATTCAGAATAGAAGATTCACAATCTATTTGACTTCCTGCCTCCGGACCCAAAAGAAATATGTTTACATGCAACAGGCTTTTCCAAGGCATCTCCCCAAAACATTGTTTTCTTTCCCGAGCCCTGGGGTCGAGAATATTTGCTTCGAAATTAAACATCAAGACTGCCCTAATGCTAACTCCTGTGCTTTTTTTTTTTTTTTACTTCTTAGTTTTACAGCAATTCTGAATCATTTAAGGAAGAAAAGATTTCTTTGCTTTTACCTGCATTCGCCGGGTATTTTACAAGAACCATGTCTGGGGTTGCAACCCTGACGACAGATTGCTGAAAAGAAGAAAAAATGGAGAAATTTAAAAAGAGAGGAAATTTAGGAGAAATAAAGGCACAAAGTAACATTTCTTGCACCTTGAATCCAGGGGTGAAATCCAGCAGGTTCTGGAGAACCGGTAGCGAAAATTTTGAGTAGTTCGGAGAACCTGCAAATACCACCTCTGGCTGGCCCCAGAGTGGGGTGGGAATGGAGATTTTGCAATATCCTTCCCCCAGGAGTGTGGAGGGAATGGGGATTTTGCAGTATCCTTCCCCTGTCACGCCCATCAAGCCACACCACACCACGCCCACCAAGCCACGCCCACAGGACCGGTAGTAAAAAAAATTGGATTTCTCCACTGCTTGAATCCCCTGGAAAGTTTTTAATAGCCCAGTCAGCACTGCAGTGGGCCCCTTGAATGAAGCCTTCTAGAAAAGAAAACTGAATTGCTTCATGCTAGCAACCTACAAAGAAGGGGTCCCAACTGCTTGGTGAAAGCTTCATTAACAAAATTACATGAGCCCAATGTTGAGAGTTCTAAAGACTTTACTGGCCTGCAGCATTTTCTGTCTCTCAACTTAAGTCTATACATTTAGGCACCCAGGTATTATAACTGCAAATCATTTGCATAAAAGCACCTTTCACCCACTCCGACAGTGAAATGTTTTGATGATTGGCAGTGCACTGATAGTACCACAGCCAACACAGAACAGAAAGGCAACCAAGGGTCTTTCACTTGCTTTCTTAGCATTAACAAAGGAATCTGGGGTTTTGTTTTTTTTAATGTATGTTTGTGGGTAGGAATGGGAGACGTGCCAGACTCAGAATGGGATTGTTTTCAAATCAAGCAAAATTATATCTAACTTTCAGGAAAGGGGTGCATGCCAGAGGTGGGTAAGGCCAAAAAGCAAGCAGGCATGGCTATCTTAGACATTCACAGGCAATCCACACTCTTCTTGGATGTGTGCAACAATGTGGTCTCCAAAGGCCTTCTAGTGGGAGCCACTGGACTGGAGGCATTTGCTAAGCCTAAATGGCAGCTGCAGGTATCAGAGTACAGGTCATTTTTATCAGAGGTCTCAGCACAGAGGGAGTCCCTGTCCAATTGCAAATTCACTCTACCCGATTTGCAAGCAAGTGTAGACCTCCAAAAAAACTTCTCACAAAGATTTCTTAAAAAGTAAAACTAGAGAAGAGAAGGCAAACCGATGGAAGTCTTAAGAGCAAAACATTCTTAAATTGACACCCCAAAATTCACTTCTGTTCTGGTTAGTAGCAGGAGCTCAGGTAGCCATCTTTCCCTATCACTCTGCTACCCGCTCCTCCGTTTTGGAAATCTGACGGCTTATACCTGGGATTGTGCTGGACAAAGTTAAACACTCCACAATTGAGATATAATCCTTATGGATGCTTTTTAAAGAGGACACATTTGGTTATGATTCATGATACCTTCATGCTGAACACTATTGTTTAGGCGTCCCCAGGCTCTGGGGACTGATGGTCACCTCTGTCTGGAATGTTGAGGACATCCTGTGGGTGCTTGCTAGAAGATGGCTACTGGGAGGGGGCTCATTCATTCACAAAATGACTGACATAGAGGATATAACCCCTAATTATGATCCTGTGTCAGGGGTGGGCAAATGTGGCCCTTTTACAACCTGTGGACTTCAACTCCCAGAATTCCTGAGACAGCCAATCTGTCTCAGGAATTCTGGGAGTTGAAGTCCACAGGTTGTAAAAGGGCCACACATAATTTACTACTATCCTTCTTCCAGGAAGGAAGGAAAACTATCATTTTTATTTTTATTTTTTTAAAAAGAGGCCTAATAGCCCTCAGATGCATTCTTGGCTATATAAAGAAGCGTAAGTTTTGTTTTGCAGCTCAATACGTATATAATATTTTTAAAAGTATTCCAAAAAACCACAATCACTCTTTCTCATTCACTCACTCACACATACAGCCCAGTTGGGCAGGGAAATTGGCCTAATGGCCTGTATTAAGTGAGGATCTGCAAGCACAGTACTACCTCCAAGAGGCCATGTTAGACCAAGTCATATGAGGTACTGAATGGAAGTCACAACTCACAAAATAATCATGCATTATTAAACTAAATACAAACACAGCTTGGGAGGTCTCCTGGATATATCACTAGCTGAGAAAGCTTAGGCAGCAATGTTAAGGAGTTTTGTTTTGTTTTGCCAGCTGCAACTCTCCCTGGAGAAGTCAGTTATTCATGCGCTAGTGGTGTCCAAGTTGGATTGCTGTAACACAGGCTTTATGCTGTTTAAATCCTTTTAGAACCTTCACTGGTAGGGAATGTAACTGTTCAAGGATGGCTGTATCACTAGGTGAAAGAGGTTAGTTCATGTGATATCTGCATTTTGCCAACTGCACTGTGGGCAAGTAAATTTCATTTACTGATCTAATCCGCTTTTCAAACAAGTTAAACTGGTATCATCATTACAGCTTGCAGAAGCAACTTGTTCTGTTTATCTGCATCTTGTATGAAGCAGTACTTCTTTTTTAGAATGAAGGCGAATATACGTGTCCCAGGATAATGTTACAGGATCCAATCTGGGTCGGTCACCGGGACCAGAGGTTTTGTCTTCTGAGCTTTCGGACTTGTGCTGGAGCCCTCCTCTGACCCAGATTGGATCCTGTGGTACTTCTTTTATCTGTTTTGATTTGTTCACCATTCAATTTCGTCAACTAACCTTAATTTCTCGGATTATAACAGAGGAAGATAATTTCTCCATTTATTTATTTTCTCTACATCCAACATAATTTTATATACTTGTGTCTCTTTTGCTTACTCTTTTCTGAGCAAAAGAACCCCAAATATTTTACCTTTCCTACCACTTTCCTCCTGAGTTAAACTAAACTGCATATAACATTCAAAGGTAACCTCCCCATAAAGACATTACATTTCTGGTAACTTAATTACAGTAGTATCTGTTCATTCCTCCATGTTTCCCAGCATGGAATTTGCCTTTAATCACAGCAATTAAAAAAAAAACTGGATGTTTCCTAGAACCCTCTTGACCACATCTGTAATCATTCTACCTGGTCAGTCATGATTGAATCTGACTCCATTAGCACACATGTGAAGTTAGAACTTTTTTTTTTTGTTAGCGTACACTACATTGGTCACTGAATTGCCTATTCCTCTATTTTAGGGATATTCTTTCAGACCTTTTGTTGTCCTTGTATTTTAATCGCCTTAGATAATTTGGTATCACCCAAAACATAGCCACTCCTGTAGGTGATTTGATGTAGCTGCCCTTTACATTAATGGGTCTAATGTCCCTTTTATTATTTCCATAATAATAGTATTTTGTGACTGTGCTGACTGTTAATTTGTTCCGATCCTGTAAGCCATCTAAATTTTGGACCCAAAAAAGTCAGCCTAAAATATTTTTAAATAAAACTATATTCTAATTTTGCCCAAGTTATGACAAAACTACTTTTTTGAGCAGATGTTTAGTTAGCCTAAAAAGATAACTGTTTTTGGTCTCTAGAATTTGGGCGTGGAGGATATATAAGAAACAGATCATGGGTATTACAAACCTTTGTTGCAGTCTGGTCCCATCCAGCCTTCCAAGCAGGTTTTATTGCCATTCTGATCACAAGTATAGTGTCCAAAGAAGTCATCTCTTGGTCGACAAAGTTTGTTGCATCCAAAACCGTAGTAGTGTTCATCACAGGTGACTCGGATCTGGTATTCAAAATGAGCTACTCCAGAATTTTGCTTCAAGACCTGCCACTGACGGCTTGGATTGATCATCCCAGAATGTGATGCCTTTTCAATAATGCTATCTGCACCTGAAAGAGGAAAAATCAGTAAGAATGGAACAGCCACTTAGGAGGACCTCAATTATAGTGTTAATTCACCCAAGTAACCTCCAAAAGTGAAAGATGTGGAAGTTAATGTAACAATATTGTCAAGTCTTGAAGCACCAGCCTGCATTGAAGTGTCACCAACAGGGAAACATACATTTTCATAGAAATTTGGAACTACTTCATTCTTTGCTGTTGCTCTCCTGGTTAGCATTTCTCAATACACTATACACAAACAATCTGATAAACTCCTTATTCCTAACACAGTGCCTCGTTGCCCAGTTGTACCAGCTGTGCTGACAACATTCTATCCATTAAACCAAACAATTATAAAATGAACTTTATGAATCAGGAAAGTGCTGCTAGAAAACACATGCTTTATGAAAAAAACTTAACTCTAAATCTGGAGTGGAAGATAAAATCCAACACCAACTGATGGTCAACAATTAGGACAACAGCACGAGGCTGGAACAGCTTTTCCAAACAAGAAGAGCTCAGCTCCCACTTACAATGTCTTGTGCTTTATTCTGATTATTCATCCAACAACCCGATAGCCTTTGCATAGCATTTATAAAGCCTTTGGGCCATATACAGTAGAAGTGTTGTAACAAAACCTATTTGGACTTGGAAAATCCGTGCCAAAAATTTCCAGACAAACAGGTCTAAGCAACTTTAAAGCAATGGTTGCTCACCTTCCCAAGTAACTTTTTAAAGCCAGTTATGATATTTATTCATCTTTTTAGATGCCAGTTTTCAAGCTACTGTAAGCTGTCATTATATACACACTTAACTGTGAGTAAGCCTAATGAATTCACAGGGTCTGCGTGGACATGTAAAGGGCTAAATTGGAAAAATGAAGGTAGAGATAATATGACAAGATTTCTCCATGATCTCTTTGAAGAAAGGGTTGGTTTCAGAAACTCATCCTAGTTCTGAAAGAAAGCCCTCAACTGCTGTGGGATATACCCAAAAACCTGAAAATTTCACATTACTGTGGAACATTGTTTATAGATCTGTGGTATTT